TGTTTTCTGACTGATTTAAACAAGCAGTAGAAGCACATATGAAAATACTTAATTATAATGTCAAAATTTGATGTAAATGTAAGATCATATATCACGTAAGATCGAGATAATGGCCGAAACCACAAAATCGACAAACATCCTTTCGTAAAAAATATCACTTTCGCAAAGTAAATGCATAAAAAATGCCTCTACTTTTTGATCATAAGGCAAAACAAAAAAAAAAAAAATTTAAATCAATATTAATATTTAATTAAAGGGTTTCACCGTTCTCCTCGGCAAGTAATGCGAAAATACTGTTCATGTGCCTGGTTCATTTACATTAGCGGTTTCTTAAACTGTGTATTGCTATTCCCCATGGGGTCATGCGGACCTGCAGCAGGGGATGGCTAAACAATTTAGCGTTTGATATTCTTTAACTTATTATAATAGTTTTACAATTACCAAACATTTTTACACAATGTATCTGAAATAATAAAGATAAGCAATACAGAAAGAAAAACTTTTCGACTCATTCTTTCATAACAGACGTTCATTTTACTTGCTTTTCACATGACGATGTCATTATGTTGTTACTGATTAGAATCTTGACAATTTCACATGGTGTAGCTATCTGTCCCTGAGCGCAGCATCCAAGGGGCACCAAATTGATGCTAATGATATGTTTTCCATTCTTGGAACACAGAAAGGGGCGCAAAATCTTTAGTGTCCCTGGGCGCTGAAAATCTTACCTACGCGTCTAATTTTTAGTCTCTTAAGTTCAAGCCCAAGTGTCGTCGGCTTTTATTGTACCCTCCAAGACGGAGCTTTGTGAAATCTTATTGGAATAAGAAAGGCTTAATTACCCTTCCATCTTGTTCTTTCTTGTTACACGAACTTAAGCGAAGTGAGTGAAAAAAAATGACAATGACAAATGCGCGTGCGGATTTCGGATAAGCGGATTTGCTTATGGCGGTAGCACAAAAATTTTCGTAAACTATTACGGGGGTCTGGAGATGTGAATTACATTCAATGATAAAAAAGGGATCACGGCAGAAGAAAAAAAGTTAAGAAACCCCGATTTACATCATTAATTTGTTGCTATATATATTACTTATTACATGTAAAATTTTTATGTCTTGTTCGAGCAACTACGCACATATTGTTATTTTGCGCAGCTCTCGTCCATTGTTTTGTCATCCCTCCCCTAGTCTCTATTTGTCCATGTGCCAATATTCGATTGTATAGTTAAGACATAGCTATGGTGTTGCTTCCTTGGATCCCTCGTTTCCTCGCATATATTGTCATGTTACGGTTCTTCCCTGAGTCCTGTTTTTATGCTAAATTCATTTTTTAGTAATATCCTGTACTTACTCTCATCTTTTTTCTTTCTTCTTTCCCATAACAAAAAGTTTATACTCGTGTTTATATTTTATAATCTCTACATGACATCTTATGTATCTCGATTTTACCACACTGCATGATCTAGATTCCAGCTAATAATGTAATCGTCATATGGCTGTTTCCTTATCGTTACTACCAGATAATCCCCCACCTGTGAATTGTTGTCCTTATGTTCTATTTCTTCTAGCTTAATTATTTGAGCGTACACTGTCTTTCCTTCTGACTCGTGTAATTTGACTTTGTTATTTGACGTCATTTGTTATTTGTTTAATGGATGTCATATCTAAGTGTGTGAGCTTTGCTTCTTGCTTCATTATACATTGTATTTGCCATTCCCAAGCAAACCTTTGACTTTTGCTCTTATAGCTACCCGACTTCCTTGTGTGTGCATAACACGCGTCCCTTTGCCTCTCCGTGTCTGGCACCCCAATGTTGATTCTTATGCCCATCTTACCTAGCGCTTTTCGTTTCCTTCCGCGTGTACATGGCCCTTCAGGGTACAATGGTTAATGTTGATGCATTCCTTTCTATTATTGCCATTGTTATTCTTATTGTTTTAACCGCTCTGATCTCCGAGGTCTTCCATCCACATTTTCTCTTGTCTGTGCAACCCACACTTTTCTGTACTGCCACACACACGCTGACATCCCATACAGCCCCTGGTTATTGTCTTGTTCTGCGACCCCAATTCGCTATCTTACAGGGTAAAATTGTTTTTAGATGTAAAGTTTCACCGCTACGCATCTTCGAAATAATGCTATTGTATCTTTTTCATATATAAATATTTACAACCCTTTACTTGATCGTACAGGCAAACTCCTTAATTATGTTGTTTAATTTATTATTACAAAATTAGGATAAATGATTTTATTTTTTATTAACAGGTGTTTGCTGAATCTGCTTGTCTGTTTCTGTAGACATCTTGCGGCACTTACTTATTCTTACTATGAAATTAATCTCCTCCTTAAACTTGCTTCATACTCTGAACCCTAGTCCTATTATTTGTACTATTAACTGCAGTCCCCTTCCACGGACTCTTTACTCTCAACCCACCGTTCTTACCGCGCCTACCTCTTCCCTCGCCCTAAATTCTATCATTGCCCACCATCCCCCTCAACAATTGGCATCTTTAACCCGCTCCTGTTATGAATCCCATCCTCAGTCTCACTTTCCCCCATTCATCACTAGAACAGCTAAACTTTAAAACTGCTTCTCTCATCCATCAAATCCTATTATTTTTACCGAAAAAGTTCCCAAAGTAAATCAGGCCACTTATTTAGGAGTCTGTTTCCACGGCTGGCTCACACAGAATAAACACATATGCGTGGCTCTTGGAAAAGCCATCGGAGTGTCCAGGAAACTTAATTAACTTATCATCGCCTTGTCGGCACTAGATTTAATGTGCAAAAAACATGTTTAACCTCCATTCTAACACCTATCCTCACATATGACTCCCCTGCCTGCATCACAGCCTCCAACACTGACATAAACAAACTCCAAGCTTTCCAGAACAATTATCTGCATAAGATCACAGGGGTGCCTTGGTTCATTTGTAATGAACAACTTCACAGGGATCTCAAAATTCAAAATCTGGCCACCTTCATAAACAAACTTAATTAGTAACTTCTACAATAAAGCAGCATCCAATGAAAACATTAACTAATCAGACAATTTTAAGTATGAACTTCTAGAAATAGACATATATTTCAAACCTTACACCACTCATTATCTTAGAAACCCGGTCTAATATTCAAAACATATTTTTCATAATTCTACCATTTAGTTAAATGCAATTTCATCTCACACTGGCCTGGGCCATCTCCTCACCCTTACCTTTAATTCCAAATTAAAGGTTCTCCTATGATGTATTGTATGTGTGTCACCCCTAGCCGGGGTTATTTGAGATGCCAGTAATAGCTGGATAAAATTCCAGTTGAAAATGGCAAAAAGCCAATATCATAGCACATTCACTTTTCCACTCTCTCTAGCTTGAATAGTGCATAATTAATCATCATCACTTGTCCTGCAACATGAATTAGTTCATTATAAAATTATGGGATGCTTATTGCACCCACAGTGTTGCATAAAACAACAAGTCATAGTCATACATTATTCCTTCGGCCATGACTAAAAAAAGAAACGAGTGCCTTCTCTTAACTAACAATAAAAATATCACATATATGTGTGTGCATGTATGCACACACATTGCTTTAACGTAGTTTTGGTTGTTTTAACTTTGTTTAACATGTAATCTCTGGAATTAGATTTTTCAAATGTTCTTTATGGATTTAGCTATTTTTTCCTCTCCTTTTATTATCATTTTTTTTAATTTGCAGCTTTGCCCAAAATTTCTAACTAGTTTTTTGCATCTAAGGGCCCAAAACTTCTAACCATACTATTGGTTGAAGCTCACAAGTTTGACATGCTTGGCCTAAAATATACATTTTAAAAAAGATTTGTCTGACTTCAGGTACTAACAGCTACTGCATATTTAAGATATGTAGAGCACAATATTGTTCCCCCATTAAAATAATAAATTTGACATGGTGAAAATTTCTACAAAACTTTCTTAAATAAAGATTAATTAAATCATACATGCTTCATGGGTAATTTTATTTTATGATATTTTTGTGACTTTTTTTTTTATTTTATTTTATTTTATTTTTTTTAATGCCAGACCTAAGTCTAAAATTCAATCAAACAACAATTCTTCAGTAAATGCACTGCTAATAATATAAGGAAAAAAGATTAATTCAGAAACACATTAAGATGTACATAGCATATTAATAAAAAGATGAAACTATATTTTAATGAAACCCACTTTATTTATCAAAACAATGGCATTATTTTTAATACTCAGTACTAAAAAATTCCAGAAATTGTAAGCTGAAGAAAATCTACCATATAAATTTTATTCCAGAATCTTAAAAAAAAAAAAAAAAAAAAAAAAAAAAAAAAAAAAAAAAAATGCTGCTTCCTAATCATGTCGCTATGCCAGCTTCTTCCTTCCCACAAAAATAAAATCAAAATTTAGTCTAGAAACTTTCTTGGATACAATTTTCACTCTGCAACTGGAACACCATCTGCTCTGTTTTAGAGCCAATAACCAGCTACAAATTATTTTTTTTTAACTTCATTTGTGCCAAATATACCCCCAAGTAACTGCAATGACAACACCGTTTAATCTGCAACTTAGTTAGAGCTACCAAAGAGGCCTTGTCTCAAGATTTAACACTGGACTAGCTTCCTATAAACAAATACTTTATTAACTGAGTTAGAGCCATTAATAAACCAATTTTAACCATGAAAAGATAAGTTTGATTTAACCATGAGACCTCACTATTTTGACCTTGATAAGTTGATAAGTTCAATCAACTGTGATGTGACTGGTTGTGTTCTGCCCAATTATACATTTCTAATTTACACACTCTCAGATAAAAAATATAATCTCATGTACACTATTATTCATTTCTCTCTCTCTTTTAAATACAAAATATTTACAACAAAGGAATTACAATAATAAAATAAAATTTCAAAAAATCATACCTTCAATAAAAAGTATCAATCAAATTTAAAAACATATTAAATTAAAATTTTTAAGGAATAACATGTTTACATACCAGCAGAGTTACCACTAAGTATCCTACATGTAGAATTCTTAAACTGTGGATGAACTTTCAAGGTGTTAATTGGTGTTCTACAAGTTAACATAAGAAGAATATATTACAAAGATGGAAAAAAGGGCCATTGACTTAAAAATCAACTTATACAACAACCAATGGTACAGCTAGCAAAATTTTCAGCAATTGCTAAATTTAAATAAATAAATAAAATAGCAATATAGTACATCTTGCAAGTTTCAGTTCCTTTCCCTTCTCATAACTGAAGAAAAATTGCAAATTAAGCTATTATAATTCATTCTGCTTACAATTTGCACTTTAAGTCTGTGGATGCATCATAAAAGAAAACAAAATACTGCTATTCCCACAGTTAGAATACTCTTAAAACATTTAATCTTTGTTTTTGGATACGTATTATACCAGAAAAAGAGCAGATTTCATACTACAAATTTTCAAAGTACCCTTACTCTGTTTTACTAATAAAAATTAATGAATTACAGAAAGTAAATGTATACTGTGTGTTTAATTAAAAACAAAGAATGAAATTTATGTATTATATACATATGCAAATTAACTACATCATATTACATAACTACATCGAATATGCATGCGTAAAGCCTATGAGAAAACACATTGTTGGTGGTTTTAAGGTCTGGATTTTAGATCATTCTGGATAATGGACGTCCAGATTTCAGATTTTGTACTGTATGATAGTAATTAGCATAAACGTCAAATTCTGATCCTTTCCTCAAATTATACAGCATTCTCTAAAACATAGCTATTTTATACATAAAAATAGTAAAACAAAAAATACATACTATTTTACATTTAACTTTTACTCAATTTCTGAATACAAAAAAACTACCAGCAGTTTCCTACTGATGTGATGTAGACTGATAAAAAATGTTATCCATTTTTTTATTCAAAAATTAAAAAGATTCCATCACTTTCAGTTGTACAGTTTGTATGAATAAAAATTTTTTTGACATACATATCAACTTTTACGTCTATTATGGTAGAGAGTTTATTTTCTGTATCTTGCATTTTTTTTTCCATCAACATCAGAAGAATCTTTACATATCGCAATATTTTCATCACTCGGATCTTCATATGTAACAATAAATACTTCATCATTCGATAAATCGCGATTTCATATTTTTAATTTTATAATTTCTACATGCCATCTTACTAGATTTAAACTGATGATCTATTATCAGGAAAAATCTCAAATCTGAAATCGAAGTCACGACACGTCCGAATTTAGTACTGTACTGAACACTAATTATGTTGATCAACTCCTGCTAGCATTCTGGCAATGATGCTTTGTGATATTACACATCTACGATTTAAATGAGCTCAAGGTTCTGAATAGAAGAAAGCAAACTTGGTGGCAACTTGTACTGTCACACAATCTTGCTAGTAAACAATTGTCAGAATTGATTTGCCACTGCCTTCATTGACAACTTCACTTAACTAAAGGCAACAATACCTATGCAATTGCCTTAATTCTGATGCTGGATAATATGTCGATTTGACTAGTCTATTTACATGAAGCCAAACGTTGCAACCTCTAGCAAATTTGCTCAAATGACTGCATAATTTCTATCATAGCTGTCAATAGTTAGATCTTTGAGAATTTTCATTTGGACTGCTCTTTTCTGATCATTTTAGACTTTTCATCATGAAAGGCACATATTTTTTATCATTTGCATAATATATGGTGAAAGATACTAGTACACTGCATTTTGAAAATGTAAGACAGTGAATAAATGGAACATAAGTAAATTGTTCCAACACAGAATGTTATTAATATACTCAACACAACTTGATTCTGGTACTTTTCAGTTTTCAAGGTAAATTGTAATTCTAGCTGAAGTGCACTGAGCCCTTATTAAATAAACTTCTTTTATATAAATGAACCCAATTTCAACAGACAGATTTTATATAAATGTTTCATTCCCAAAAGTACTAAAAGTGATCACACTACTTGTGCACGTGCAAAATTAGAGACTTTTCACTGCAGAACTTCTGCAGACTTTTTGAATGATATAACCAAATACAAGCAAAAAAACTGGTCATTTGTTCAGGGCCATTATGTTTATTCTTGCACAGTTTTCAGGTAGTATCCATAGAAATTTTCTTCCTCTTGCATTCTGTTGACAGTTAGAGTTATTTCAACACGGCATCACAGTCAGAAAATGTTACTGTTCTCTCTCTGTTTTTGAAGCTACACATCTGAGGTAAAATTTCTCTCCATATTTTCATATTGTATCTAGCATTCTCTCAGTCTGACTATTAATGCTCTATTGTATTACTTTTTCCACTGGTGCACTAGAAAAAGAATGGTTTTTGTTTCCATTATCGCTTTAAATAGCACATTATACCATATATTCATACATATTATTTCTTAGCTTTTGAGTGAAATTGTAATTCCAGCCAGAGACCCAAAAAAGATAAGATTAAATTCTTTATTTTTTATTTAACTATTTATCACTAATTTTATAATTTTTTAAATTTAAATTTTATTTTTTACATTTTATTTAATTTTAAATTATTTTAATTATTCATTATATCACCAGTATAATGAATATTATTAAATATAATTATTTTCTCCCTCTTTTCTGACACTTTTAATTCTAGAAATTCAGCCCTTATACTCAAATCACTATATGCATAATTTCTCAAGTTCTTTGGAATACATAGAGTAAAACAAAACCAGATGGTCTCTTAAAAAAATGTTTAAAAAAATCAGCAATTTACAAAGGTGAACAGAATGAGATACGAGATGGATCCTACATAATTATAAGAAATGGGGAAAATGCAATCTCCCCTTTAAGGATGCTAGAAACCCTTTTATTTGTGGTAACAAATTGATAAACTGCTCAAGCATGTTTCCCTTGCTCAGCCAACAAACCTCAATGTCCAAGAGAAGATCAGTAAATTGTATATCTTCATTTTCCAAAAGCAGTTTAAATAGTCTATGTTGCACTCCACTCTTCTGCATTATTGAAATTATTATTTTTGTAACAATTGTGATAACATCTTGAAATTCCATGATTTTTGCACACAATGATTGATGTATAATGCAGTGATATACAATAAATTTTGGGGAAAAAAAAGATCTTGTTGGCATAAAGCAATGAATCCAATAATCTTCTCTGCCATGATTTGCGTACTGCCAGATGTTATCAAGATAATTTTCCAGATAGTATTTTAGAGTGAATCAAAAATATATTTAGTGCACAAAATAAATCCTTTCCTTGTGTGCGCTCTCCTTAAGCTGCAAGATTTTGTTTTCTTCTTTTATGGTAAAACTGTCAAAGACCATCTTGACATTCAATGCCAGTTGTGCTGTGTCTGTTATATCTTTCGATTCATAAATTGAAAAAGAAAAAGTAAAGCTAACTGGTAATTAGACGTAAGACCTATCTGGTCAAAGGGGGGAAAAATGACTTTGTTCATATTTTTTATCACTTGGGATTCTAAGTGACCTGAAATTGTTTTAGTTTTTGTAACAGTTCTAGCTGACAACTGCATGGCATTTATGACACACAGTTCCTTTTTTCTTCATAAAATCTGCAAAAAGTATGTCTGTAGATTCCAACTCTAGGGTACTCAGAAAGTAACTTACATTTTAGAATAAAAAAACAAAAGAATGTAAAAATTTTTTATTATTTACATTTCAAAGGCACATTATTCAGCTATTTTTCTAATAATCTCCAAAGAAATTAAGACACTTATCATTTAATGGCACATGAGCTTGTTAATTGCATCACCATAGAAAGTTGCCACATGAGGCTTCAACCGTGCACGAATGCCCAAATGCAGTTCCTTGTCATCGTCGAAGCACTGTGTTGTAAGCCAGGCACACACCAGTGACAACCTTCACCCAAGTCTTGTCTCCTGTTATGACATGATCAAGAAGTGAGTCACTGCTTCTGGTACGGCTCCAGAAATTTCAAAGTTGCTGCCTTCCAGTGCTTTTTGTGATCTTCTGACAAGAGTTTTAATATGCATCTGGCACAAAACTTGTGATAGCCTAGATCTTATATTACAACACCAAGCAACAAAGTTCATGAAATTTGAAGAAACCCTGAAAGTGGGAGCTCCGAAATTGTGAAGTGGTGAATAGTGTGAATCTTTTCATCAATTTTCTCTGCAAGTTCACCATTAATAATGCTTGGCCAGACACTTTGCGCTTCCTCGTGAAAATTTGTGCAACCATTTTTAAACATGATGCACCATTGTCTCACTCCGGCTTCCCTGATTACATCATTTCCATACATGGTAAAAAGTTCCCCATAAATTTCAGTTGGTTTCTGTTTTTTTTTGCGAACAGAAATCTAATCACTGATTGCACTTTACAAGGGGTGGGATTTTCTATTGCCGCACATATTTTAAACATTCACAGTGAACAAAGCAGAAGCAATATGTGCCAAAACAAGTACAAGCAGATGCATAAGGATGCAGTAGACACTCCGACACCAAGATGGGGATACTAGTACTATCTCTTAAGGCACAGCAGCGAAACTAAGTTACTTTGTGAATAGCCCTCATATTATTGCTGCATCCACATATGCCTTTTTTTCTTTAAAAGTATATGTGAAATCTAAATCGACTGTTGCTGTCTTTGATGTTTCCAAATCATTTTGTAAAAATAGACTGCTGCTTCAAAATCAATGACTTTCACGATATAATTCTATTTCTAATTTAGTTCAGAAAGTTCAGGATAAACCGGGTCATACTTCGGATGCACCATTTTAAAATGTCTTTCAAGGTTACTCTTCTTTAGAACTGCAACACTTTTGTTGCATAAAAAGTACATATATTTGACTTTATGATTTATAAAGCAAAAACTGGCACTCCCATTGTTCATTAAAATTTATAACTCCATGCTTGCTTAGCTTTGTGTCATCTTCTCTGTAAGTAAACATTCTGGATGATTAGAGAGTACATATACATTGCATACTTTGTAATTATTGACTTGACTGCCTGTCTAAAAGTCGGAAATTAAAAGTATGTTACTAATTAATCAAAACTGTCACAGACAAACAAAGTAGACAGATGTCTTGTTTTGCACCTGCTAAGTCTTTCTGCCAACATGCACTGTGTTGCCAACCAACAATCTCAACTGTCAGTCAATGCCTTGTATGAACCAATTTCTCATGTTCAAAGGTTTCACCTCCCAATGTAAAAACAACTTGAGTGTTTTTATTGCAATCAAATGAGAAACGACTTTTGCTCTACCTATGCAATAATATTAGTATATCTATTTATGCAATAATGTTAGTATAATGCAATGATATTATTCTAAAATACCTTTTAGTTAGCTGAATTTTCTTCAACCTACTTCTGTAAGAAAAGGTATACAGTGTACAACTTTCCTCTCTCAATTTTCAAGCAATAGAATTTGAGAAAAAATAAAGGAAAATATACTAGTAAATATAGACATTCACAAAAAATTCAATATAGAGAATAAGGCTTTCTATCATTACTGCAAAATAATTTTAGTTCTACATAATAGTTAATTCTTACTTGAAAAGGAAATTCTTGTTAGCAATAAAACTTTTTATTTTGTTTGAAAATTCTTCTGCTTGATGAACCACACCTGCAAGTTGTAAATCAATAAAATAAGATGCTTGGAATGTAAATATTACAATGTTAAATAAAATAAGTAATACCAGTAAAAGGGCACTAATTTAAATTATTTGTGTTACATGATTCCCTATTTTAGAGTTTAAATTATCACAAATTTTAAAAGAAAATGAAAATGCTTTCATTTGTTAGGATTTGATTTAAAAAATACTTTATTTTATTATAAATAGAAGTATATTGAAAGGTTTATACATAATAGTTGGGAAATAAACAATAAAACTAAAATATGGTACATTCTTCAATGACCATTTTAGCGCTTATAAACTAGCGTACAGGTTTTCGCCACTGCCTTCAAAGCTATACACTGATGAGCCAAAACATTATGACCATCATCACACTTTTCAACGAACTCGTCTGGATGGTATGTGATTAATTGGGGGGTATGTGATTAATTGGGAATGGTATTTAACTGCTCCTGGAGAAGGTAACGAATCATTCTTGCACTTACATTTATTTGCAAGTGACGGGAAACGTTGCTGATCTAAGCGAATTTGACACAGGGTAGACTTATTGGCCTAAAGACTCGGATCGAAATTTCACAACTGGTAAATTGTTTACAATCTGCCATCGTTAGTATTTACGCAGAGTGGATAAATGATGGTGAAACCAGCAATAGATGCCAAGGTTTAGGACGACCACACGTCATCAAAGAAAAAGAACATCACAGTATGTCCCCTTTGTGTGGATGTTGGAGACTATCCACACAGCAAAATCAGCGCCAGACAGTTACTCAGCTGGCAGCCAAACATAATGCAGGTTCAAGTGCAAGTGCAAAGGTCAGCGGGCACTGTTGATTATGGGACTGCATAGCAGTTATCCCGCTCATTAGCCTATGTTGACCAAGCACTACTGACAACTAAGCTTACAGTAGGCCCAGGAACATCGAGACTGGACCATGGATAATGGAAGACAGTTAAGTTGCTCAGTCTGATGAATCATGATTTCTCATTCATCACGTTGGTCGTGTCAGGGTATGCCATCTTCCAGGCAAATGGTTGCTCCCACGTTTTCATCAGGTGATACACAGGGTGGTGGTGGTGCCTTGGGGGTAACTTAATGGGCAGCTCTGGGACCCCCAGTTGTCGCAGAACAGACCATGAAAGCTGTTGACTATCTAAACATAACTGCGGATCAGTTGCACCCTTACATTGCATCTATCTTCCCAACTTGAAATAGACTCTTTCAGCAGGACAATGCCATATGTCACAAGGCTCGAATTGTGTTGAAGTAGTTCAATAAGCAAAAGGATGAATTCCAATTAATGCCCTGACACCCTAACTCGCAGAACCTTAAATTGATAAAGCACATTTGGGATGTCATGAAGCAGCAGTTCAGAACTCAAAAACCTATCTAAAAATATCTCAACTTTGTGTGACGGCTGCTTAGACATTTAGTACAACCTGTCTCCAGTCATCTACCAAGAACTTGCGGCTTCCATGCCAAGGCGAGCTGCAACTGTTTTGCAGACCAAAGGTTGTGCAATACATTACTGAGTTAGGTGGTCATAACGTTCACTGTATGCCTTTCTATCATACTCGAGGGGACGCTGGGTCTGACCATAGATGAAAAGTTCCCATGGATACTACATTTTAGGGCAGTGCACTTAAAATTAAAAACCCAAGAAACTGCCAACAACTTAAGATGCACAAAAGGTGCAGACTGGGGACTGAAACCTTACACTCTCAAAATTCCTTACCAAACTGTAGTGGAAAAGATAGCAACCTATGGGGCTGCAATCTGGGCCTCGCCTACGAGTAGTAAGAAAATCAGTCTTCCGAAAAGAAGCATACAATGCCCCTTCATCCTGGCTATCACCAAATGCTATCAAACAATAGCAACAGTGATGGCTACCTTCCCAGTAGGACTTATCCCATTACAAATCAGGGCCAAGCAGGAAGCAACAATTACACCAGTCCTTCAGCTATGGGAAGGTACCACCTACAGGTCACAGCACCATAATCCAAATGCCTACAAAAAGAAACTGCTCTTCCATGCCATCCACCCATCTGACTATGGGAAAGGTTTTATAACACACATGTCAATGCTGGCTGCACCCAGCACAACAGATAGCCGAATCATCTACACAGATGGCTCAAAGATAGATGATACGGTTGGCTGTGGCTTAACCATCATGTACCACTCCCAAGTCCTACATACATGGAAGGGCTACCTGAAAACTGACAATTTGGTTTTCCAGGTGGAAGCAGCTGCAATACTCTAGACCATAGGAATGACCAGCCAACTTCCAGGCTCTCATGTCAACATCCTCACAGACAGCCTCTCGACCATTTATGCAATGCCCCCAACTCATTGCCGAGATTCAAAAACTGCTGAAAGAGATGTCCAAATCCAAGCAGATTTTCATTTTGTAGATTAAGGCACACACCCAGATCCAGGGAAATGAGGAAGCAGACAGGCTTGTCAAAGAAGCAGCTGGTAATATTGAAGCACAAGTACTGACACTCAAACTTCCATGGTCACACCTAAAACATGGGCAGTAACATGGGCAGCGGCACAACAACAATGGGAGTCTATCCCTCAGGGCAAAACACACTCACGATTTCTTTCACAAAGTATCGACTGAACGGATGGTGTGTCAGCCATTTTATTACAACATTTGTTAGCGACCACCAGCCATATCCAACTTACCTTCGGGAAAGAAGATTCTTGACATCAGAGACGTGTATGTAGCGCCACTGGCACCCCTGACCATTATCTTACCACATGCCCTCTCACCGAGCAATAGCACATTCAACAGTCAGACAATGCAACACCTCATAAACACTTCCTCATTAAACTAGCGTTCCTCGAGAAACTGAAGCAGTTGATGGACAAACTGGAAGGACTGGGCATGGACTTTTGCAATGCAGAGTAGCAAGTTCGTTTCAGTTAGTAAATACATGAAACATAAGCAAATGCAATGTACTAAAAATACAGAAACCACACAACTAGATGCCCAATGGATACATATAATGCACATAACTGACCTGCACGGTGTAAATGGGTTATACGCAAGAGATCACTATAAATATGTATTTCAACTCCACTATGTGGAAACTACTATTTATCCCAACAAGTGCACAACATGAACATGGCATAGTTATACAACAATCTCCTGTGTAATGCCTGATACATAGCACATAAGTAATATGCAAAAATAACTGATTCCTATGCAAGTAATTATGCAACTGATATGTAAAAATTGGTCTTTATGTACTTATATGTAATTAACTGCTATGTAATATGTCATATGGCATATTGTATTAATATTTATAAGCATCTGTAAATAACCGCTATAAATGATGTAAGGTATATTGCAATAGTATATATATATATAATCAGCATATAACCAACGTACAATATGTAAGTGCGTACAATATGTAATATAATACAGGTAAGTGTATGTTTAATGCATGTTTAACAATTAAGTGTATGTTAAATGCCTGTTATGTTTATGTTCAGTGTTTAACTGTCAAGTGCACAGTAAGTATTTATTGATCGAAACAATATGCAAGTGTATGTTTAATGGTTAAGTGTATGTTAAATAAGCTTATGCTCAGTGTTTAATTGTGAAGTGTACAGTATATGTAAGTATTTGTTAAACGAAGCATAATCTGTAAATGTATTGTTTAACAGTTAAGAGTACGTTAAATGCTAGTTAAGTTTATGTACACTGTCTAACTGTCCAATTCCCAGTATATGTAAGTATATGCTGAATGAAGCATAATATGTAAGTGTACATGGCCATGCCATTCTACTTCCAATTTTTTCCCCCCGATAAACTCCCAATGCAGTCCTTGTGGGGGTGGCAGGAGTGTGTTGTCCTAGGCAGTTGCATGGTCTGGACCACACCCAAATAGTCTGTGAACTGCCGGGTGTCCGGTTCTGCTCTCACCTGTCACCTATCATGGTAGAGTCTCATCAATATTAGAGTTAACTTCAAATAATTTTAACTTTAGCATAATCTGCTCTATGTGTAGCCCATACATGCCAACGTAAGTTAGCATGCTCTAAAAGGTCAGTCAGGTGGCTATAGGCCCTGAGGTACGTATTCCAAGGCCAGAGGCCTCTTCTAGTATAATACTTAAAAGTTCCTATTTAACATAGATAGCATATCTTGATGAACAATAGCATTTAAATAGTTGAAGTTATAGCAAATAAAAATGATGAGCAAAATATAGCAAGTTTAAGCATTGGTTGTAGAATTATATCAATTTGAAAAGATAAATGAGTCAAAGTTCAGCAATGAAGTGCGAAGATGGCATGCGACAGTTACAATGTAGTGAGAAGATGGCATGCAGCAGTTGCAACGTCAGTGCTCAAATATTCCAATGTAAGGCATGCAGCAGAGTGCTATAGTCACATGATAAGGAAGGAGTCAGGAGTTTGGTGATTGGCTGCTAAAAGAAGAGATGAGTAACCAGCGTGTATATGCTTTGTATGGGAAGAAAGGGGTATTTGCCAAAATATATACCAGAAGGCAGTAAATTTGGTGTATGAATTAAGCAAAATTAAGAGAAATTAAATGAAACAATACAATGAAATGTAAGAATAAGAATATGATAAAAAAAAAGTAGGTCATATACATAAGTGGGGTCTTTTCAATACCATACAATTTTGAAACAATTTTGCCAAGAGAAAATAATGGATATTTAACTTAAATTTCTTAAGACTGCACGAGGCCACAGCTTGCTCCTGTCATCACTTGGGTCATTAATCAAGCACTGGAATGGAATGATTTTACACACAGTTGATTTTTTCATAAAACATTATAGCAACTTTTGCTATATACTCTGCAATTGTTTCAATACAAAATTTTGCATAGATTTTTAGCGTTCCTATGGAACCATCACGCTTTAGAGCAATTTGATGTAATAATTTACACTAACTTGGATTTTATTAACCGTAGTGTTACAGCCTAATCCCCAGACAAGCAGGGCATATGTAATAACCAGGTGAAGCACGGTTTTATAGATGAGTACTTTATTTTCTAAAGAGAGAATGGAGTTCTGAAGATTCTGTTTCTTCCCCTTGCTGCCTGGGAAAGGAGCATCTTGCAGTTCCTCAAAAATTCAAAACCAAACCTTAGAGCACAATTTCAAAATAAGTAATGGACTAACATTTTAAATAATAAATGCTGTTCAAGGAATTCATTATATATATATAAAAAAAGGGGGTATCAAACATACTTTTATTTTCAGTACATTAAAAGCTTTGCATTTTTTATGATACACTCATATTCATAACCACATTCTTTAGCTAACAATTCTTATTTTTATTTAAGTCAATATCATGGATATTGATCAGCAAAGTTAAACCTCTTCGTGTATTTATTACAGATACAGTACAAAGTCCATAATCCAGACTAATCGAGACTTCGGCAATTCCGGATTAGGGGTTTTTCCAGATTATAGATCATCAATTTAAATCTGGTAAGATAGCATGCAGAAATTAAACAATTAAAAATATGAAACAATAATTTATGAAATAAAGAGCAATTATGTTCTAAAGGGTATCAAAATTTACAAAAAAAAAAAAAAAAACTGAATATTTATTTGTTTACTTTATTAAACGTTTCTTTCAATGTAAGTTGTTTAAGTTGCTTCTTTTTTTGTGCTAATACTTTCTCTTTAATTCTATAAACAGACATAATTTCTTGTTCAGTTACAAAGTTCCACTGTTCAAGTCTTGTAATTGCTGTGTCGAGAAAACCGACTAACTTGTCAATCGAACTTTTTTTCAATAACCTCTCTGTCACTTTCTTCACTATTGGAAGTAGTATTTTCTGCATCTAGAACCATACTACAGATTTCGCCATCCGTTAATTGATTGATGATTGGGGCATTGTCGTCACAATAAAAAATTTCTGTTATAATCATCTTCATTTATTACCGCTTCTCCACATTTCTTTACAAAATCCAATGACTGGAAAATTTCACCTATAGTTTGTGATGTATGAAAACCTTCAAATTCGCGGCTATCATCTTCATCGTCCTCACCATAAAATATGGTAGCTAGCCATAAATTATGCCAAGCATTTTTTAACGTATCTGGAGAAACATCTTCCCAATGTCCATGCGTATTTGTAAACACATTATGCACATGCGTAAAGCACACACACACACACACAAAAAAAAAATTGTGGCTTTGAGGTCCGGATTATAGATGATTCCGGGTAATGAACATACAGATTATGGACTTTGTACTGTATTAATAATTTACTAAAGTACTACAGTTATTAAAGCATTAAATATACAATAGTTACTTATGTACAGTTATTATTAACTTTCAAGCACCCAGCCCTTCTACTCAGCCCTAGGCACAATGCTTTTCAGAGGCTCTCAGTGTTGCTTTACTCACCTCAAAGAAAATGATAATAGAATTATGGGAAAAATTAGATCTTGGAAAAGAACAAAATGATTCACAGGCTCTATAAAACCTGTGCCCCTAGGCCTGGCTTTGTACTAGGCAGTAATTGGGCCCTATTTCTATTTTGACAAGAAAAGCATTTCCATTATAAAGTTCGAATCATGTTTGCAAAGCTAAACTGCATGGGGTGGATGGGAAAAGAAATTTTATGGCTACTCTTATTCTAATTTTCCTCCTAATGTGTGATGAGGTACTTAAAACATTAATTATGAAACAGCAAAATGATGTCACATTCCGAAACAGAAGAATTTGTTATGCAGCAGATAACACACTATGAATACATTTAAATTCAAATGAAGACAGGACTAATATTACTAGAAAATTAACATTCAAAATAGCAATTTGCACTCACCTTCAAGATTTGTAGTAAGATCTGATAATGATTGTAAATAGACAGCATTTTCTGCTTTGCATTTTGTAGCCGTTAGTTGTTTGAGTTTATTAAACCAGAGGTCATCGATAAAAGGTTTGTTATTTGCATCTTTAAAGTTTATTTTTAATTTTCTACAGCCAGAAATCTGTCCAGTTCTTCCATTTTCAAAACCCATCAGACCATTTGCTTGGGTTTGCATTTTCAGAAGTGGAGCTGTAAAATCGTAAAGCCTTTAATCAAATGCATAGAAAATAATATACATAAATACACTCTTTTGCAAAAAAATCGAAGCAACATGAAGGAAGTGCTTGTTTTTGATGATATTGAATATGTGTATAGCTCATACACAGACAATAAAATGATTAAAAAATCAATATCATAGTACCTGTTCACGGAGCACAATCACCCATTGAGTACTCAAATTAGCAGTTGATTGAACCGTCCCTGGTGGCAATACATGCTTGTATTCGTCAAGGCAAGGAGTGGTAGAGGTTCCTAATGTCATCCTGCGACATTTTGCCACGCATTCATCAGTTGTCGCTCCAGATTTGCGATATTTTGTAGTACCCGAATGTGGACGGCATAGTATATCCCAGACACGCTCGATTAGTGAAAGGTCTGGTGACCTTGCTGGCCAAGGAAGAGTACCAACCGCATGGAGACAGTCCAGAGACATGCAAGCGGTACGTGGCCTGGCATTATCTTGTTGGAAAATGGCCCCAGGATGGCGTGCCATGAAGGGGAATGCAACCGGCCGTAGGATGGTATCGACATATTAAAAGTTACGGTAAAGATGTACGGAGGATGACTAAAGATAACCTGCTATCATGAGAAACAGCGCCCCATACCGTCACACCAGGGGTTATGGCTGTATGCCTTTGTAAAACAAAGACTAATTGGGACCGCTGGTCCAATCCCCTCCAGACACGAACAAGGTGGTTATCTGCCTCAAGAATGAAGCGGGATTCATCGCTGAACACTATACGATGCCACTCTGATGGCAACCATGATGATCAGCTATAACACCACTTCAGACGACTCTGCTGATGTTGTGGGTCAAAGGCAAACGTCTTAAAGGCCTCTGTGAGCATAACCCCGCCTCAGACATGCGCAGTGAGATGGTGTACGGTATCACGGGAGGTACAGACATGGCTGTAGTGCTTTGAATAGTCGACAATGATTCGTTGGGGCAGTATGGGGCTGGTGAACAACCATCCTATCATACCTTGCATTTTTGTGCTCCATGGCCTTCCAGAGCCTTCATTTCATCAGCAATATCCTTGTAGCAACCACTGCTGCCAACATCTTTGCACAGCAGTGTTTGTACACTGCAGATGGCGGTCTGTTGCTCGCTATGACCACAAAGCTTCACGCAATGGCAGCAACAAAAAAGATAAATTTTCCGCCTCTGTTACTGGTTTTATACTTTGCGAATTGTGCACTAAAAATGCACGCTGATCACAATTCTTGTTCATTTGCCTTGAAACTTTGTTCTTTTGCATGTCCGGTGAAGATGTGTTTGCATACCAAATTTTGTCATGTTCGCAAATGTCCTTCTTGGTGCTTAGATTTTTATATACATATTAAAAAGAAAAAGAATTTTTATTCAAATTTCATATTTATATATATTGCAAACATTTTAAATCCATTCAAAGCAAACCTTTAAGATGATTTAAGATAACAAAATAATTCTGCCCCTATTTCTTTAAAAAACTGGAAAAATTAAAATGTGATAAATTTCAAAGACTGTGATAAAATGGTAGACAAAGTATTAAAAGAAAAATGCAAATCCTCAGAAAACACATCAACTAATAAGGAAAATAATGAAAATGAAGCAGAATTAGAAACAGACCTCAAACTGCTGTCCTGAAAAGTTATCATCATTAGTGTGCCAGAGACAGTTCTGAAGTGGATTTGTAATCTACAACCTAGAAGAATGTTTCCCAAATATGTTAACTGCATTGAGAGTTCTACCGACTCTGTCTGTTTCAGTTAAGGGTGAGAGCATATTTTCAAAATTGAAAATACTTAAAAATTACTTGTGATCAAGTATGAATCAGGAAATACTGAATGGTTTGGCAATTACTTCAATTGAAAACCGATACTGCACAATCAATTAATATTGACGATTTGCAGGAGGAATTTGTAAAGATACACACCCAACGTATTTCTTTCATATGGCATTAGTTTCATTCGTGTACACGCAACTTTAATATAAAAACCTTGTATGAAGTAATTTTTGAATCTGCATAATTTTTTGTTTATATATACAATATATCTTCCTATTACTTCATATTTTTGCAGCATTTTGCACAAAAAATTTTTAAGTACGTCACATTACTTGTTAGTTTTTCAATTTCTATTTCGATTATATATTTGGTGGTCGTGTGCTTAATGCATGATATAATTAAAGAAAATAAGAGTAGACAATCTCCTATAACAAAAGAATATATTAAGTACTAAATTACAATTTAAATTACATTGCAGAGATCAACACAGAGCTCGGAACACAGTTCATGGTACCGTCGCGTACAGTTGTCTCGACGAGAAGTCTGAGTGAGTAAATGATGTCGCTTTGCTGCTCCGATTAAGAACTGGATTTTACACGTGGCGCCATCTCATGAATAGAAGTTGAAGTATCTGTCGGAACGCCACAGTACTCCCCCCCCAAGTCCCCCCCCCAAGCACCATCGGTACGTTATAAGTACTTTGGGTTAAATTTAACCTTTCTTCCAGATCTGGTAGTTTTAGGTTGCTCTTTAACGGGATGTAAGCTTTCTTCCGGGAGTGATGTTGATGAGGAAGTTGTTGGATCTTGCATTAGAAATGCTGGTTTGAGACGATCGATTCCAATCACTGATTGTTTGCCATTGCAGATGATGGTGAAATGTTTCGGTGTTCGTTTGACAACTTTGAATGGACCATCATATGAAGGGTGTTAAAGTTGGCTTAATTGCATCGTTGCGCACGAATACGTGCGAAGATGTCTCAAGCGCAGGATGTACAAAATAGCTTGGCTGGTTATGCGAAGATGCTGGGGTTGGCGAGATATTGCTCATGGTCTCACGTAAACGTTGAAGGAATGTTGGAGGGTCGATAACTGGAGTAGATTCTGGGTGAAAGAATTCACCTGGCAGACGGAGGGTTGCACCATATAACATTTCAGCACAAGTGCTACCAATGTCTTCTTTGAATGCTGTGCGAAGACCAAGCAAGACTAGGGGTAAGGCTTCTGTCCAGTGTGTGCTACTGTGGCACTTCAGACCTTGTTTGAGAGATCGGTGAAAGCGTTCCACCATCCCATTTCCAGATGGATGGTATGGTGTTGTGCGAATATGGCGAATGCCAAGAAGAGAGGTGAGGGATGCGAACAAGTGACATTGAAATTGTCGGCCTTGGTCAGTAGTGATGGTGGTAGGCATGCCAAATCTTGAAAGCCACTGGGAGATGAATGCTCGAGCTACAGTTTCAGCGGATATATTTTCAATAGGAATGGCTTCAGGCCATCTTGTGTACCGATCAATACAAGTGAGGAGGTAAGTGTAACCATTTGAAGGAGGCAATGGGCCAACCAAGTCTAAGTGCACATGATCAAAGCGTCTTGCTGGAAGGTTAAATTGTTGAATGGGGCTGTGAGTGTGACGGGATACTTTACACCGTTGACATCTAATACATGAACGAGTCCATTCTGTGATGTCTTGATTCATTGCTGGCCAGACAAATCTGTCTGCGATCAGCTTTTTGGTGGCACGGATTCCAGGATGTGCCAAATTGTGCAAGGCATTAAACACTTCACGTCTAAAATTGACAGGAATATAGGGACGTATTCTATTGTTCTCTATGTCACAGTAAATTTTAAGCGTTGGATCAATGTGCAGCGGTTGTAACTGAAGGGAGGTTTGTGGATTTGAGATTAGGTTCTTGAGTTCCTCATCATGCAATTGAGCTTTTGCAATTTCAGAGAAATCTGGGGTAGTGAGGTTGATATTGTTTACCCGAGACAAGGCATCAGCGACACAATTATCAGTACCAGAGACATATCTGATATCTGTACTAAACTGGGCGATGAAATCCAGATGTCGAAGCTGACGAGGAGAACATGAGTCAGAGTTTTTTCTAAAAGCGAAGGTTAATGGTCGATGATCGGTGAAAATGATGAAGTCGTGTCCTTCCAAGTTGTGCCGGAAGTATTTAACAGCACAGTACACAGCACAGTACACAGCAAGTAGCTCCCTGTCATATGTGCTGTATTTCCTTTCTGCAGTAGTAAGTTTTCTGGAGAAGAATGCCATTGGGGAAAGTCCTTTAGTGGTATGGGCTTGAAGCACTGCTCCTATGGCCGTGTCAGATGCATCTACCATTATAGAGAGCTGATCACTAGGTGAGTGATAAGAAAGTGTGGCTGCATTTGCCAGATCGTGTTTGCATTGCACGAATGCTGCAGATGCAGATTCAGTCCAAGGGACAGCTCGTTGATCATTTTTTTTGCTATTCTTCAGAAACTCATGTAGGCAGGCTTGTGTTTTTGCGGCATTTGGCAGAAAGCGTCGGTAGAAATTTAACATTGCTAGAAAACGCTTCAGTTCAGAGATGGTTTTGGGCTGAGGTAGGTCGTTAATTGCTTTGACTCTTTCCGGTAAAGGTTTGACTCCATTCTGGGTGATAAGACATCCAAGAAAGGAAACTGAGGGTTGACCAAGTACACATTTGGATGGATTTAGTTTTAATCCATGATCTTTAAGGCGAGTGAAAATCTGACGCAGATGTTGAAAATGTTCTTCCGCATCTGTAGATGCAACCAGGATATCATCAAAATATGGGATGCAGAAATCGAGGCCAGACAGTACTTGGTGTATGAAACGCTGAAATGTTTGGCCAGCATTGCGAAGGCCAAATGGCATATATAAGTACTCAAAGAGACCAAATGGTGTAGTCACTGCGGTCTTGGGCACATCTTCAGCATGCACTGGGATCTGATGATATGCTCTGGCACGATCGAGGGTAGAAAATATGTTTGTTCCATGAAAAAGATGGATTAAGTCGACGATAATCTCCACAAGGCCGCCAGTCACCATTAGACTTTTTAACCATGTGAAGTGGACTGGCCCATGGACTTTTAGATGGGCGAATGGTTCCCTGTGCTAGCATGAATTCAAATTCTTTGCGAGCAGCTTTTAGCATCTCTGGAGAAAGACGACGAGGCTTGGAAAATA